CCTAGATCGGCGTAGGGGAGGGTTAGCACGTGGGATCCTCTGCACAGGGTTTACCGAAGTGGATCCTAAGTGATCTTTGGGGACGACCTTAGAGGTGAGGATGTGGGGCCCAGCTACTGGCCTTGCTCCGCGACTGACATGCATTTACCCTATACCTATTTGGAGGAATCTCCTTGGTGGATGTCCAAGTGCCGCTCAGAGCCCGGGCATTATATAACCAATCGGAAATTGGCTGAGACCCTGATAAAACTTATACGGAAGAAATGAAAAAATCCTGAAAAGCTATTCCTGGAGTGCAATCCAGGTCCTGGAATCCTGACTCAAGCATTACTTGAAGCTGGTGCTAAAGTTGTTGCCTTAGAAAGTGATAAAACTTTTATTCCACATTTGGAGTCCTTAGGGGAAAATATGAATGGAAAACTAAAAGTGGTCTACTGTGACTTCTTTAAAATGGATCCTGACAATTGTACAATAGCAAAACCGCCTGTTTACGCTTCAAATGAGCTTTTTAAAGATTTAAGAATACGAGAAGTTTCATGGAAAGCAGGTATTCCTTTAAAAATAGTTGGAATTTTGCCATTTAGAAGTGAAAGAAACATACTTTGGAAACTTTTATATGATCTTTATTCCTGTACTTCTATATATAAATACGGACGAGTAGAACTAAATATGTTTGTCAGTGAAAAAGAATACCAGAATCTAACGGCAGGTCCAAAAATCCAAATTTCTATCAGGCATTAAGTGTACTCTGGCAAGTAGCTTGTGATGTTAAGCTTCTGCATGTGGAGCCTTGGTCGTCATTTGATATATGCCCCCAAAATGGGCAGCTGGAAAAGCTAAAGCACAGGGAACCATTAGAGCCAATACAACAGAACCTGTATTTTATTCAAATGACTCCTCGAAAAACTTTATTTACAGAAGAGTTGACTCTCGTTAACTATAATGTATTTTTTCATATGGTAAAGCACTGTTTTGGGAAGCGCAATGCCAAGCTAGTAGATCATTTACATTCATTGAGTCCAGTTGATGCCAAGCATATATTGAGGCAAATAAGAAAAAATGAAGATGTGAAAACAATTAATATGTATCCTCGAAACTTTAAACAACTTTTTCAAACTATACAGTGTTCAGAAGATTATGCCCATAAATGGCTGTGTAATGAGAACCTGGAAGACTCAGCCATGTACAGAACAAATTGTCAGAATGTTAGCTGAAGCATTTTATTTGTAAACAAATGAAAAAGAACTAAGTTTGAAAAGTTCATATCCTTTCAACAAGATGACTGTTCTTTTTGAGCACAGACTAGGCAAATAATCTCTTCTGTTGATACCATTGATATCAGTGATGGATTCTGTTTTTTTCACAACAGAATAAAATGGAAATTTCAGTTGATTATGGATTTCATCAGATTGTCTTTTGAAAAAAATTCCTATGTACTGTAGCGTTGGGAGTATAATATAAGGTGGTACAAGGCATGCTTAGTATGAGCAAAGCCCTGGCTTTGATCCCAAGTACCAAAAAATAAGTTCTTATGTGCTTATACTTATAGGTCATTACCAGTTGAAATATAGTAACTTACATCAGCACTTTCACTGGTGCCGATTTTTGCATATTCATGGTGGGCAAATGAGTTTGGATATTATTAAGTTTAGAAAGTAAATTAAACTAATTTAAGTGGTTTGTTTTACCTTTCTGGTTGTTGAAATGTATTATCAAATGCTGTACAATGAAATTACTTAAATTCTAATTGTTTCATTATTTTTAGAAATTAAAATATTTTAACAAAAAAAAAGACTTTAATGTATTTTCCTTCTTTGAATATTGTTATAGAAATACAGATCATATTTCATATTCAATTTGTATCTTGTTTTTATATCCTTATTACTATAGGATAAGCATCTCTCCAAGTCATCCAAATGGTTTGAAAACATTTCTATGATTGTTTGATATGTGGATATACAGTATTTCCCCTTTTATTTACAAAGGTTTTTTTCTGATTTTTGTGATGTAGATAAGACTGAGACAAAAGTATTCATGCCAGCATTTCCAAGTTAGATCTAGGAGTGAGAAGAAATGAATATTTTAAAGACCTCTGAGCATGCTAATAGATTATCTTTCTGAAAAGTTGGCCATCCTAATTAACATTTACTAGTTTAAAAAGAAGAAATACTTAACATTTTAATTAAGAAACTTGAAGTTTTTCAAATGTGAATATGTCATTTGTAATTGTTATTTTGTGAAAATTTTCATTTCCCTGTTCCATTTATTAATAAATCCTATGTCTTGTTGAAAAAAAAAAGAATTATTGGGATAGAGGAAGGCATAGAGATACAAACGAAAGAAATGCACAATCTTCTAAATGAAATAATACCAGAAAATTTCCTAAACCTAAAGAGTGAAATGGAAAATCAAATACAAAAGGTTTACAGGACATCAAATGTACAAAATTACAACAGATCCACACCAACGCATATTCTAATGAAATTGTTTAGCATACAGAATAAAGACAGAATTTTAAAGGCCGCAAGAGAAAAGTATCAGTTATACATATAGGGGAAAACCAATTCAGATCTAAGATTTCTTAATCCATACCCTCAAAGGTAGGAAATCTAGGAACAACACATATAATATCTGAAAGAAAATGGATGCCAACCAAGAATCTTATATCCAGCAAAATTAAGCTTCAGATTTGATGACAAAATAAAAACCTTCCATGATAAAGAAGAGTTAAATGAATTTATAACTAGAACGCCTGAACTACAGAATATGCTCAGAAAAATATTCTATGAGGAAGAAATGAAAAAGAACAATGAAAATCTGCAAAGGGAGGAACTACACTAAGGGAAAAGCTAGTCAAAGGAGAAATCAAGTCAAGTTAAAAAACAAAAATAAACCAAAGTGACCAGTAATATAAATCATATATCAATAATGTTATTGGCCTAAATTCATCAATCAAAAGACACAGACTGGCAGATTGGTTTTAAAAAAAGACCCAACAATATACTGCCTTCAAGAGTCTGATCTCATAGGAAAAGACATCCATAGAATGAAGGTGAAAGGATGGGAAAAAACATCAATCACATGGACTTTGTAAATAAGCAGGGGATTCTATCCTCATATCAGATAGAGTGTGATATAAGCCAAAGTTAGTCAGAAGGGATAAAGAAGGACATTTCATACTGCTTAAGGAAACCATAAATCAACAAGACATAACAATTGTGAAGATTTATGCCCCCAGCAATGGAGCATCTACATACATCAAACAGACCCTCTCAATTTCACGAATCAAATAGACCACAACACAATAATACTGGGTGACTTTAACACACTTCTGTTACCACTGGATAGATCTTCCAAACAAAAACTAAACAAAGAAACTATAAAATTCAATAATACATCAATAATTTAGACTTAACAGTCATAGACAGGATATTTCATCCATCATCAAGTGAATACACTTTCTTTTCAGCAGCATATGGATCCTTCTCTAAAATAAACCATATGTTATATCACAAAGAACTTCCTAGCAAAAAAAAAAAAAAAAAAAGATGCTATCCTGGATCTTATCAGACAATAATGAAATGAAATTAGAACCAATGACAAAATAAAAAAATAGAAGTTACTCCAACACCTGGAGACTAAATAACATGCTACTGAATGAAAATGGATAGTAGAAGATATCACCGAAGACAGAAATAAATTCTTAGAGTTAAATGAGAACACTGATACAATATATCAAAATCTCTGGGAAACTATGAAGGCAATACTAAGAGAAAAGTTCACTGCGTTCAGCTCATTGATTAAAAGAAAAAATTCAACAAATAAATGACCTAACATTACATCTCAAGCCCTAGAAAAAGAAAAACAAACCAACACCAAAAGTAGTAGAAGACAGGAAATAATTAAAATCAGAATTGAAATTAATGAAATTGAAACAAAAGAAACAATTGAAAAATTTGACAAAATTAAAAGTTGGTTCTTTAAAAAAATAAATAAAATTGATAAATCCTCAGCCACAGTAATGAAGAGAAAGAGAGAAAACTCAAATTACTAAAATATAAGATAAAGAAGGAAATGTCACAACAGACACTATTGAATTACAGAAGATAATTAGACACTATTTTTGAAAACTTATACTCAATAAATTAGAAAATCTCAAAGACATTGACAAATTTCTATAGACATATGATCTACTCAAACTGAATCAGGAGGATATACCCAATTTAAACAGATCAATTTAAAGCAATGAAATAGAAGATGCCATCAAAAGCCTACCAACCAAGAAAAGGCCAGGACCAGACAGATTCTCAGCTGAGGTCTATAAGACCTTCAAAGAAGAACTAATACCAATACTCCTCAAATTATCACATGAAATAGAAAAGGAGGGAACCCTTCCAAACTCAACTATGAGGCTAATATCACCCTGATACCAAAACCAGACAAAGACACATAAAGGAATGAAAATTTCAGACCAATATCCCTGATGAACATAGATACAAAAATTCTCAATAAAATTCTGGAAAATCGCATGCAAAAACATATTTAAAAGATAGTGCACCATGATAAAGTGGAGGTCATCTCAGAGATACAAGTTGGTTTAACATATGGAAATCAATAAACATAATTCATCACATCAATAGACTTAAAGATAAGTACCATATGATCATCTCAATAGGTGCAGGAAAAGCATTTGACAAAATACAGCACACCTTCCTGTTTAAAACACCTGAAAAAGTAGGGATAATAGGAACATACCTCAACATTGTAAAAGCTATCTATATTAAGCCCAAAGCCAACATCATTCTAAATGGAAAAACAATTGAATGCATTCCCTCTAAAAACTGGAACAAGACAGAGAGGCCCTCTTTCACCATTTTTATATAACATACCTTGAAACTCTAGCCAGAGCAATCAGACAGACAAAAGAAAGGGATACGCACAGGAAAAGAAGAACTCAAACTCTATTTACCGATGACATGATTCTATACTTAGAGGATCCAAAGAATTCCACTAGAAAACTTCTAGAATTAATAAATGAATTCAGCAAAGTAGCAGGATATAAAGTCAACACCCACTTTCTCTGGGCATGGCCACTGCTAACCTCTGATACTACCTCCTCTGATGTTGCTGCTGCCACCTGGAGTCACCTGAAGGTCTTCTTTCTGGGTGCTGCTGCCCATGCAGCTGCAGCCATCTGCTGCTGCCTCTGACACAGCTGTTGCTGACAACACTGCTGCCCCATGGAGATCATCTGAGTGACACTACCCCCACAGCCACACTTGCAGCCACCGCTGCTGCAGCCACTGCTGATCCACAGCCTGCTGCCACCAACCACTGCTACTACCACTGTTACTAACCCCTGGCCTGCTGTCAACAACCACCTGCCATCACCATTACTGCTACTACCACCACCTAGAGGTCTGCTATGGGGCAAACTCCAGGTTTGGTTGCCTGTGACCACATCCACCTTGGGACGCCAGCCAGGGCCTGGGGCCCAAGTACCCTCAGGTTTACTACCACAAGATTCTCTATCTGGGGACCCTGGCCAGGACCTGCAGGTCCACTGTTGGGGTACCTGCAGGTTTGGAGGCATCAGGGATCTTCCTGATGGGAATGCTGGTGGCCCCTCTCTTACTGCTGCATCTCAGAGTCGCTCCTTTAGATGAACATATACCTGGTAGTCTCTCTGCAAGTAGGAAAACATGGCTGAGCCTGAGGTATATGAAGCCCAGATGGGTGGGATAGTGACTGTGTCTGCAAGAGTTGTGGGCCTGGTGATCCCAGGAGACTAAGAGACAGGGCTGAGAAACTATTGAATGCTAACAGAGACAGTTCAACTTTCCATTGAGATTTATTTTATTTGTATTTTTCAATTCACTAATGCCTCTACCATATTTGGAACAGGGTGTTTTGTATGCATCAGTGTGTAGAGGACAATGATATATGAATGGTGTTTTGCATTTTTGTCGTATTCTTATGTCTTTTAATTTTTTCTCTTTATTAGTATTCATCCCCTCACTTGTCTTTTTCTTGGATTTTCTTTCCAACTTTTCTCTAACCAACAACAAATCTCTGTCAGTTCCTCAACCACTCTTTCTGTGAATTTTTGCTTCTAGCTTCTCTCTTCCTCCCTCTCAAACATCACATACTACGCTACTTCAATTCTCTCGTCCACCATCTTGAAACTGTAAATCATTTTAGCAAAGTTTCTGTTTATACTATAGATAGTTATTGAACTCATCATTTTGGTTTAATGCGAGAAAGCAGTAGATGCCTTACTGGGAGCTGATGGGTTTAAGGATATCTATTGTCTATACTGGATGTTGTTGATACTAATCTCACTATTAAAGGTGAGGTGCTGTAAACCTTCAGGGACACTACAGATCTATAGGGTAGAAAGTGTGCTGCCTTAGATCCATACTGCTAGATGGGAAAACATACAAACAACATGAAAAAACAAGAGAGTAAAGCATCCCAAACAAACCAAGATGCTCCAACAACAGAATCCACTGATAACACAGTAGAAGAAATGTCCAAGAAAAGTTCAGAATGTACACAAATTGATCTGTGAAGCAAAGGATAGTATAAGGAGTGAAATCAAAGAAAAAATACAGGAAGTGAAAGATCACTTTAATAAACAGAGATTGTGAGAAAAAAGACAGAAATCCTTGAAATGAAGGAATCAATAAACCAAATTATAAATTCATGGAAAGCATCACCAACAGACTAGACCACTTGGAAGACAGA